CTGGCATATAATTACATAGAATTTTTATCAGATAGTTCAGTTTATGTCTAAGGCCATTTTCGGTAATTAAGTCAATTAGGATGCAATCACAGCACTTACAAGCCGAAAATATAGAAAAGGTAAAGGGTTAAATTCATTCATTCTAATGAGAATGCATTAGCGAAGTAAAGCACTACAGTTTTACATAATTTCTGAGTAAGCTATTCATACGAATTGAAATATTTCTTGCATTTAAACTTGTGTTCCAAATTAAGATTTAACTTGAAATTAATGTAGATAATTACTGAGAGTATTAGATTTTTGTAGAGTAGTTTACGTGAGATGAGATCGCTTGGGGTCACGTGATATAAACCGGCGAATCGGGATGTTGAACCATGAAAGCATAGTAAATTCTTAAATTAATGTCTTTTTACAAATTTATTGTCTTTATTTATTGGCTTTTTATAAAATTTTAAGCGTTATTTAAATGTTTATGCCTTCTTTTTGTAAAAGAATTCTTAGAACTAACATTTTTTAAGTGTATACTGTATGTTGTCACCAATAAAGTCTGCTTGCCGAGATTTGCGCCGGCGAAACGGAAAAGTACCCTGCTCTTTTATATGCTTATTATGCTTGTATTTTATTGTATAGATTATATTTCTCATAAAAGCTTATCAGATTCTAAAATAATAACTTTACAGAAGTTCTAATTTATATGCAGATGTTTGATTATTTTGAATAATTTAAAAATAAATTAGCATAAATATTTTTTCCTTCATTCTAGAACCTTGTGTACATCAAATCATTTCCTCAGTTTCATTCAGAATGTAAATAGGGTACTTACATGTTATCCCATGGACTGTGGAACTGTCACCAAGCAGTACGATTTAGCACCATTTATGGATAAGTATAAAGGAACAACATTCTAGTAACATCTACACTTTTGTTTGATGTAAGTATGATATACAATGGCAACGCAACATAAAAAAATTGTGACAAAAAATTATCTGTTCAAAAAGGAATGTGGTTTAAGCGTTGAAGATTCATATTTGTGACTGTACTTCAGTTCATTTACAGCTGGTCAAGAGAATTAACATCTGTTGAATGTGGAACAGAATGGCTTGACATGACTAACACAACAGTAATAGACTGGAACAATTACTTATAAGAAGTTTGTACTCATTGTACTCTAATCAGAGTTTCCAGTAAAACTGGACAGCCTTACAAAATAGCAGAAATTAAAAATAGCCTTTTTACAAAGGACAAAAAATGAAGCAGGTTGAACTCTTTTGTGGCAATAGCTATTTGGTAGATTGTGCAGAGAAACCGATGAATATTTTACCGTAAGAATTGCAGAAGAAATGTAGTTCAGAATTCCACAAGAATGACTGATGGAACTTTGACAGGACTGCGATTATACGGCAACTGGGATAATATGTACGTATCATAAATAGTTTCAACTGCATTAATAGCAAAACTCTTTAAAGACTATAATAAACAAAAATAATAATAAAAAGCTCAGTTATGTACTAAAACTTCACACAATCACATACTGATACTTTTTTATGATTTTATAGAATCTTTATCATTTCTTACATAACTGGCTATTTTAAGATACTAATTTAGAAGTCAAACAACGGCTATTTTATGTCATACATAAATAATGACAAAAACAGAATAATTATTAATATGTAACAATGCTTGCATTATAATGCTAAAGAACTTGATATTTTTTAACACGGTTAAAAAAAATTAACCATATTTTACAATTTATTGTAATGAAGTCTGGTCCCCAGTGACTGCAATAAATGCATAGTAAAAAAGAAGTAAGGATAATTAAAAATCATTATCTCACATTTATTGTAAAGGATACACAAAACTTTAATTCAAGAATATCCTTCTGTTGCACAATCCTGAATGTTTTCTTTTTGCATCAACTATCTCTTTAAAAATCAAAAAAATTCCTCGTGAAAGATTTAAAACAATCTTCTCCCTTTTAACTCAATATAACAAAACAGAAATAATATGTTTATGATCAGCCTACAAAATATTTTGATAAAACTGTAATGAACTCAAAGAAGGAAAATTTGATTCATAAAAATGTTGGCATGCTAGAACTATTTGTAAGTTTGGTTATGTATTATTAAATATTTAATTTCCTAGGAAATATACCTACTGATACATATGGAAGAAGCAATGGCATTTGACAGAGCAATTTCAATAAAATTAGACATTTAGAATTAATCTCTTGAGTCGCACAGCTTTTTTGATCTGCTCATGAAGAACTATTTAAAGAGCATTTATTAGCTTACTTTGTATAATTAATTATTTTAGTCTCTGCTTTCATGAACATCAAGAAACTATTTAGACCAGCAATTCAAACACATAATATTTGGACTACTAAAGTAAATATAAAAACAAAATATTTTAAATTAAAGAGTAATGTATAGCATATTACAAAAAAAATCTCATGACTGATATAGGTAGTCATGCCACTAGGTTAAGCAGAAAAGCAGTAATTGTTAAATTTACACATCAATTCTGGTGCATGTAATTTTACTTGTTATTTATTCAATTGCATATAATATTTGACCTTGATATGAATAAAAATTTGCATTGTAGCAGATTGCCATTATCATTATATCATTATATTTTTTAGAAAATTGTTGTAAAGCTTATAATCCACCATAAAACAATAACCTACAAAAAGAGTATTAACTTAACCAAAAAGCAGATTCAAATTAGTATTATTCATTTACAAATGAACTGTAAAGAAATTCAATAAATACATTTGTTTGAGTTTTATGATATTCCTATTGAAAATAAGCCAATTATATGAGGAACTAGTTTATTGGCAGCACTGAAAAATATAGCCCAAAAAATTTATTTCAACATTTTTCAGCTACTTATAGAAAAACACTGGCAAATATCAAAATAATATTTGATAGACGAGAAATCAGTAAAACCAGTAACTGAGCCTGTTCTTAAATAACATTAACAACAGCTAAACATACTGAAACTAGTATAGAAAGTTACTGTTTATAAAAGTATTTATTACTTTTTTTTAATCTTTCAATATCTGCTTGCTCTAAAACATTAGAATGACATTTAAATGATAAACAAGAGCTGAAATAATTTGGCATGAATTTTTTCTTTGATTTTTTCAACAATTAAACACAGCAACTTCTAATACTTGCCCCGCTAATTGCAATTAAAAAAAAAAACTTGAAAGTCAAAACTATTCAGTGTTTAATTGTTGTACCATTCAGTGTTTAATGTTTTAAGCTGAAACCATTCATTGAGTATCAGTATGTAACATACTTTTATAGAATAATCAAAACTATGGTTCAATCAAACCTGTACGTTAAATATATATTACATGTTATAATATTTTTAATAAAATCACTGAAGAAAATGGAATCAAATAAATCATTTCAAATTGGAAAAGAAAGGGGGGGGGGAAGATAAAATTTAAAGTTCTATTTTAAACAATAATCTCATTAATTCTTTAATTTATTGTATCTCACTACATTTGTTCTTACTATTTTTTAAAAAATTTCTATCTCTTAGCATAATTAAAATATGAGGAATTTAATCTCTATATATAATAAAAGAAAGAGTCTCTCTGTGTGTGTCTTTCGTTCGCGTTGCGCGTAAGCTATTAGACGCACGGCTACGAAATTTGGTACATAGGTGCATCTAGACAAGAGCCAGTGCACCTTGAAGAGATTTTTTCGAAATTCAAATTTTTTTAATTTTATGTTTTGTGAAAAAATCGCATCATTTTGAGACATAATGGGCTATAGGAAAGCGAGATTTTACTCTACACACTCCATTTTCACATCGTCATGAAACATAGGCACTTAGCTATTTTACGATCTTAAAATAAATTTCGTGTTTCAATAAATCAATTAAATACAAATTTATTTAACAAAGAGAACTTAACACCTTTTCGAGGGGATTTTTTCTAAAAAGGTTTATTTTTAAAAATGTACAGTTTATTTTTCTTTGATTTTTGGGCACGTTAAACTTTCATCCTTGTGACTGCTTTTACAAAAAGAATTTTGGAAAAATGATAATATTTTGTATTTTTAAAAAAATTTTCAAATGAAGCTTCCGAGTACACTTCTCACATCTTTAAAAATGTCATTTTAGCAACAGTTTTCCTGTCTTATTGTTGTTGATAGATTTTTGATTAAATCGCATCATTTGAATAGTTTCAATCTTTTAGAAATATGGGTTTGGAAACAATTTTTCATCATATTCTTATGTCACTGTTTTTAGAGATTGGCTATTTCATGGTCATTTTTTTATATATTAATACATTTATGATTTTTGTAAAGTGGTTCCGCAAGTACAATTCTGTGTGAATTTTGTTTTTTGAGTTTCTTTCATGTTATTTTTTGCTTATTTCACTGTTTGTAAGATATTGAAAAGTTGCATGATTTTTTTCCTTCAAAAAAAAGTTGGTTAATTTTTTTATTAGGATAATTAAGGATATAGCTTATTTCATTGTATTTTTTTCTCTGAAAATATAAGATAAATATCATTAATTATACTTGCTTTTCAGAATTTTTTGTTTTTGGATTCTTTTATGTTATTCATTGCTCATTTCACTCTTTAGGTACTGAAAAAGTTTTGAGTGATTTTTTTGGAAACAAAGTCCTTAACCTCCTATACCATTTGAATTCTTAAGATTTGCAAAGGAAGTGGTTAATTTATTTATTAGGATAATTAATATTTGTATAAGGGATATTGATTTCATTGTAATTTTGTTATACATATAACTTTTTTTATGAAGTTGTTCTGCAGAGTAAAATTCTATGCAGTTTTTAAATTTAACATTTGATGTTTCCCTTCAACCATTTTTCCGGTACATTTAAAAGCCAGACGAAGGCTAGCAGCGAAGCTGCTAGTAGATTATAAAATTATTCAACATAAAGAAAATGGACATAATTACAATATTTTCTATTTTAATTTTGGCAACATTTCTAATAATTTATGAATCTTAGAAATAATTTTTGTTTTAAAGACATACAAAATTATTATTATAAAACAAATTTATGCATGCATAAAATTTAATATTATAGAAATAACATTCATTTGCAAGATTTTAATTAAATTTCTAAAAGCTTAATTCTGTTAGGTACAAAAGCATAGCTTAAGAATGGAATTTTAAGTAATCAGGTATGCATATAGAAGAAATTCATTTTACAGGAAAGCCATGAATTACTCTGTTCAAAGTGCCATGCTTTTATATAGTATACATTTTTGCTGTTAACACTTTGGGAATGCATAACACAATATTGCTCAGATAACATAACTACTTTCATTGATTTATTTAATCTTAATTACTTGCAATGAATTTTTAACATATGCTTGATTACTAATAACAGGGTGAACCACCTTTCAAACAATGTAGAATATATCATATTGCAATAATATTGCACTTTTATTTCAAATAATACATATGTATTACAATACATACACACACAGATATATATATATATATATATATTGATATTGTGTATGTATCCACTGTTTTAAATACATTCATATATTACTTTCACAAGCATAACACTTCAAGCATCTCAATAGAATTTCTAACAATAAAATATGATGCTGTACACTGACACATTTACATTTTAGATGATTTGATGATATATGTTTAATTACAATGACCACATATATTTTCACATGAAACTATATAAGTAATATCACCTTACACCTTCAGCAGCTGTTAATAAAGCACAGAAAATTTCTGTATATGTTTATAGTCTAGATTATTATTTCTAAGTTAAGAAGATGGCCACTAATTCCAAGTGAATCACTTTTAATTCCATACAGCTGAAAGAAAACAAAATATAATGCATATTTTTGCAATATTTAAATAAAAAATTAATTGTGCAAAGCTTAACATTCATATTAGCAACAGAGTTAGACAATTAAATTTATTAGCATAAAATTTCACACTTCAATACATCGAGCAATTTTATTATTTACATCAGTCCATAAGCTCAAACAGTATTTCAATATCGTTGCGTGCGTACGGGTTCGTTACGAAATGAATGCACAAGTCCGATGAAAAATGAACAAAAATTTATTATTATTACAACAAATATGTTTAAATGTCCTCAAATGTTCATGCAGTATTAGAATATATCATAGAAGTTATCTTCTAACTACTCAAATGTTCAAGAGAACTTAATTAAAAAGAGCTAGAGAAAGCTAATCTGTGTATTTGCTACAGTCAACAAGAGCAGGTTTCTAAACAAACTCTTAAAATAACAACAAACTAACTAACTAAATTGAGAGGTTTTTCCTCCTTTTTATAAGATTTTAAATCGCACGCGAGAATTTTCTGGAACTTTCTCGAAATCAAAAAGAGATATTTATTTATTAAATGTTAAATGCACGTGCTCTTGTATTTTTAATTTTCCGGCTTAGCTTTCCTTTAATATTCATCACGCGCTGCACTGCACGGGGAATAAAGCAATTTAATTTAGAATTCAACTAACATTAGTTATTTAATTACCAAATCCGTAACAATCATTGCTTCCAACCTTAAAATATGTAAAACTGGGAATTTCGAAATGTTTTCATTATGTGATTCTGATGTAAAATATGTAACTATTTAATTAAATATCTTGTAGTTTATATACTTCAGTTAACTTCATTTTATAATTTTCTTACATTCTAAGTAAAATCCTGAGTAGGAAGTAGGGAAGGAAAGCTTTTACTTATCAAAGGTTTTTTTTTTTTTTTAAATACAACAAAAACAAAATTAATAATTAATGTATATAATATGTGTGGATAAAGTGAGTGACATGTACTACAGATTCATGTAAATACAAATATTAATTGAAGAAACACTCATAAAAAATTCTAAAAATGTATGTATTAGACTAACAAAATTTTAATCAAACACAATTAAATGAGAAAAATTACACTGGACATCAGGAGGGGTGGGAGAATGAGCATTTTCCCATTTTTGAATGCTACTACTGCCCACTGGTGTGGCCAGAAAATATTTCTGGGTACCCAGCCATGAAACATTCTCTGGGTATAATTGCTGTGTCATCTAAAATTCGCATTCAAAGAAAGTTTTGCAGGTATGATTACTCTTTACAGTAAGCATCAATCTGTGTGTAATGCATTACTTTACTATTTTGTGTGTAAAACTAACAGCTACCCTAATCATTCCATTATAGTATATATTAATTATCTATATTCTATAATATATAGATAAGCTACAGAAAAAAATTTGCTATGTTTGCTTATATTGTAATTTTTTTAATGTTTTATTTACAATTTGAATTTAGTTCCTTTCAGGATGAGTGTGAAGCGTTTGAAAGGAGAACAATGGATAAAAGAAACAATTGATTAATGAAATGATTTTGATGAAGAAAATGAATATAGTTCAGCATTTTGCAAAAGAAAGAAAAACAATCTAGCATGTAAACTTAGCACTTCCAGAACCTGAAGATACAGGGTTCGTACACATTTCCTTACATGAAAATTAAGGACTTTTAAGGACCATCAAAGAAAAAAATAAGGACCTATCAGCAAACAAAAACAAAAAAAAAAAAAAAAAAAAAAACCGAATAGATAAAGCAATTATTCATACAACCGACTTAGCTGTAATTTCACTTTAAGAACTACAGAAGTGTGTATTATGCAATATTATTAAATTCACTTTAATACTTACCATAAAACAATTTTGAAAATTAAACTAACTCCCTACAAGTTATGAAGTAGATACATTAAATAGGACATAATTTCTTTAAAAACATGTATAAGTGTATTTACGCTAATAACAGTTCACTATTTTAGAGATTTACATGATTATTATTAACTTATTTGATATTTATTTAAACACAGTACTACTATATAATGTAAGAATATTTTGCAGATTCAAATAACAGAATAGTAAACATACAATTTTCTTTGGTTTTTGAAAGATACTAGAATAACTAACTATATAATAAAAAATACAAAACATTTATGCATATTTTAAATCTTAATTTTTTTCAGATATTTTAAGATCTAATTTATATGTATATTTCCTTTTCTTAGCTACTCTTTTAAGTTCATATCCTTTCATATCAAATCAATGTTACTGCTGGTCTCTGCTTCATCTGCTAAAAGCAATGTACTTCATTAATATCTTCAATATCCCTTTGAAGAAAATTTTACTTCTGCTTCATATAAACAATTTCTTCCTCAAAAATCTTTCTTTGCTTTTTGAATTTTCAGATTTAGTTTAAGATTTTTGTTAAATACTGCATGTATTTAGATCTTGCAGAAGCTCCTGCTGATCTCATTTCTTTATTAATTTCGATATTACGAATACCTCCAGAAAATTATACATAATCAAATATTGTGCGTCAAGAAATGTGCGATGAGTCACTTAAATTTTCAATTTCAATTGCTTTATTTACAGAGAAGCCGTTCCACAGAGGCCTGCCATGTGACAAGATAAGAATCATTTTCACATTTCCCTACTTTTGAATAGTGAAAATCATGAAAATAAGAGTGAGAAGTGTCAAAGAAAGATTTAGGATCAAAGTAGAAAATTATGTAAATTTGTCTTAACTCTTTGTCTAGAAACTCTCCAAACTGCAGAGAATTTCATCCCAATCCGCTTGTAAAAAAGTTTTCTGATTAATACCGTTAGAACTATTTTATTTAGTTCTGGGCTTTTCGGACTTTTAACCATCAATCGCGGGGTCTATCAATGCATTTCGAATAAGAGAATAATTTATTGGACATTTAGGACATTAAGTGTTGTACTATTGCAAGACACATTGTTGACCTTCTTGTTTCAATGCAAAACTGTCAGCTTGTGAAATGTCCTTCTTGCAGCATTTATCATTCATTAACTGCTCAGCAATGGCCCAAATAAACTTGACTTTTATCATTATAACAATTTGGATCTAAAATTAAATTTTAAAGATTTTCTGCTTTAGTTATTTTGAATATTCTAGTTTCAAAATTTTAAAGTGCTGAAGGCAAATCATTTACAAGTTTAAGATATTTCAGCAAAAAGGAATAAGTGGTTTATCACTTTGATAACATTCAAGGAAAGGCAATGATTTTCGACAGAGAGAGAAAAAAATTTAATTTAAGAAAGTTTTATCTTTAGTTGCCTCCAAAATATTTGAGAAGGATTTCGATAATTTTTTTAAACTTCCCCATTTAAATTCTTTAATGTACATAGCAAGTCATCCCATATTCAATGGCTCTTTCAACTGCTGGGACATTTTGCAACCATGGTAAAAACAGAACTTCCACAGGTAGCTTTTTAAGCCAGATATACTTAAAAAATCTTCACGTCTTGCAGGTGAATCTTTAAAATCCAACATAAGGAGGATAAGAAATGATGGAATGTCCCAGCCAGTGGATGACATCCTATGCTTGAAAGCATTGTTAAGAATGTGTAACCACATGTCCCTAATGTCAGCATTGAATGTTATATTCCTTTGTCAAGTCCTGTTGCAATAAATCATAAAATTTCCAGTTTACTGCAGGACTATCCATCGATATTTGTAAGAGTTTTGACAAGTCTAGTTTTTCAACACACATTCATAACATTTGGATAAATAAAATAATTTCACTTGTTGCATGCCCTATAAATGCAGAAGTAAGGTACTGAGTTCTGACCTTATTTTCCTGATGCCAGTACCTCACATAAATATCTAGTTGCTTCTTTTGATTTGTCAGATTAAGAGTCTCATCAAATAGTAATGTAAAAAACTCAGCATTTTTACAATGCTTTAGTAACAAAGTTTTTTTAAATAAGGGCCAAGACCAAAATAACAGATATAAGCACATTTCTTTTCACCACATGAAAACTATTTTGCAATGGAACTATCCGAGAACATTTTAGTGAATAACGGCCCAATATCATCGCACAATTTAAAAGAATAGTGGCTTTTGATGCACTTAAAAGCCCACAATATTTCTGCATCTGTAACTTCAGATTTGAAAAGAAAAGAATTGATTTTATTATTTTCTACACTTATTGATGTTGAATTAGCAGTTACATCTTTTCCTAAAGTAGGTGGTTCTTCTAACTTCATGATACTGTTAGAAGAAACTCTGCAGTTGAGAAGGAAAGATGTTTTGCAGCTAAAAGGGGCATTACATGCAAGGCATTAGTAAAATTAAGTATCGCATATATATGTATATAATGTGTGTATATATATATATAATAAGAAATGTATACTGAAAATATACATTTTTTACTATATATATATATATATATATATACAGTACATATATATATATATATACAGTACAAATTCCAAGATCTGGACATCCAATATCTGGAATGATCCTAAAAATCCGGGACCTCAAAGCCACCACCAAACCAATTTTTTAGGGCTCTTTTGGAGGGAAGGGGTATGCTTTACGCATGCGCATTAGATTTTTTTCCTCATCATAAAAAAACATGCCGGAAATCCCGATTCTTAATCTCAGTTTGGCACTAAATAAAATATCTCATCATTGAAGAAATAATTATAATTATTTTAGCATAAATTTGTGTGATTAGTAACTTGACTCCATAGCTGCATATCTGCTTGGCATAATCTCATACCGAAACATTTATTAATTTTACAGCAACTAATATTTTATATCCTTGATGCCGAAATCGCGAATCATTATTTATTGTATTTTGCTTTCATCACCACATGTTTATCAACGGATGACATCTTGAGTGATGACTCATGCAGCGACGCCAAATAACAGAATATTTATCCGATTACAGATTTAAGTTTAATGCGCTAAAATGTTGACAAGGGGAGATTTAACAGAAATTTCTTTCCTTATGCTAAAAATAGATT